TAGTCGTGTGGATCTAGTCCATCTTCACTTCGTAGAAGCAGCTTCGCAGCATTTTAAGTGCCTGAAGCGTTAAGGTAAATCTTTTCGATTCCTCTATTGTGGGTTCATTTATCAGTTTTCGTTCCCTTATATTTAGTCTCCCCGCTCATGTTAGTTGAAATTGATGAAAGGAAATATACATAACTTCGGTTACAACAGCTCACGACCTCCTTTTCGTGAACACAATGTTTAAACCATCGTAACACAGAAGGTCTGGGATTCGAATCTTAATAGGCTTACAGACTTTGGCAAGATTTCCGTATAACCCCATACTTCATTATGTATACAACTCTTAGATAAAAGAAAACAGAGCCAAAACAACAGATTACCTTTTTGACGTCAACTTTGTTTTTGATTAGTATGGGGTTATACGGAAATCTTTCCAAAATCTGGATCGTTATAGAGGCAATCTTTTGAAATTTTACATTCTTGTTTGAAGAAACATGACCATTAACTTTCTTAGATTTGCCAAATACTCCATGGAGGTNACTTCGGTTACAACAGCTCATGACCTCCTTTTCGTGAACACAATGTTTAAACCATCGTAACACAGAAGGTCTGGGATTCGAATCTTAATAGGCTTACAGACTTTGGCAAGATTTCCGTATAACCCCATACTTCATTATGTATACAACTCTTAGATAAAAGAGAACAGAGCCAAACAACAGATTACCTTTTGGATGTGAACTTTGTTTTTGATTGGTATGGGGTTATACGGAAATCTTTCCAAAATCTGGATCGTTATAAAGGCAATCTTTTGAAATTTTACATTCTTGTTTGAAGAAACATGACCTTTAACTTTCTAAGATTTGCCAAATACTCCATGGAGGTTCGTTTACATTTGTCAATTATTATAGACAAGAGACCCACTGTTAACAGTAGCTCCTACTTTCGTGATCTTTTCCGTAACAAAACATCACTTTAATTTTCTTGTCACCCACAGCACGTATGTGCTAACTTTCTTACAGAATTTTGGAGAAATGAATTTTCCAACCGGTGCTATGAGTCATGGGTTGTTTACCATTTACAAAAAAATTCCGGAAATTTCGATTCAGAATTTTCGTTCGGATCGAAAAAACGGTACGGGTCATTTACCATTTGTCTAAAATTTCCGGACTGTCGCGCCGCGCTAGACAGGAGAGACTGATCGGCTAAAATTTGTTATTTCTGACAGCCCAGTTGATACGTCAGCTGTGTATAAAATGAAAGAAATCACGTTGCAGAAAATTTGCAATTATTTTCGTGGGAGAGTAAAATATAGCGTAAACCTTGACAGCCATTCGATTTTGGACACAAATTAGTGATTTTAAGTCTGCTCACCTTTTAAAATAAAAGGAACGGCTATGTGTCAAGAATATTTCCAGAATTGGAGACGAATAAGAGCAACACGAGCACTACTACACATCCTCCATTTGCTGTGAACCCGCCATATTTTTTGTTGTTTTTGAAGGAATTTGCGCTCGGCCAGAGGCCAAGAAGCCTAAAACTACTACGAAACTCAAGAAACTTCTAAATGGTAAACAAATGATAAATACAATATCGACAGCGAACATTACATCTATCATGCCAAGTTCAAAGTCTGCCTAGTTTCCAAGGTCTTCGTCCGTAAAGTGTACTAGTACTTTTGCATACTCAGAGCGAACTGTCTTCTTTTGCTAATTTTTTAAGAAATGCACGATAAAACAATTATTGGCATCTGTTCTCGCTCAACTCCATAGATTCAAAGATTGCTTCATGTTACCTCGAACCCTCTTGTTATACCGTTTCCCGTGCGTATCGCGTTTGCGTGTTAATAACGTTTGAGAATTTGCATGTTTTTTTAGTTACATCATATAATTTGGAGTTTATTTGTTCCTATCGTTGCGGAATATCACCCGAAAACCGATATTGCACGAATTACGAGTGCAAATTAACGAGGAATTCATAAGTCAGGTAATAGGTTTCCTTTAATCTCATGATTAAAGAGGTTTTGCACAGCAGCCATGTTGGATGGCAGGATCAATAGATTATCTTACTCATGGGAAAATTTTTTCTTTCTTATGCAAAATATTTTCATTGCTCCTGCCATCCAACATGGCTGCTGTGCAAAACCTCTATTTGCAAAAATATTGTTGCTAAATACCTTGCTTCGCCAAACAATCAGCAGAATGCGAGGTTTTATTCAATTATGCGATTCTATCTTCAATATCGCACATCTGGAGTTATCTTTGGGGGACTGCTATATTGCCATTGTTACTGTCGTCACGCAATTTCGTCATTGCTGGTCATGAATAAGTCTATTTGTGTTTATTTTTGTCTGCTGGAGTGTAATTACCATATAGGAGTAAGTTCCTACAGGTGCCAAAGGTTAAAATTCAAGGACTTTTCAATGACTTTGAAGGCTAACTTTTAGAAAATTGAGGGACCACTTTTGGAAAGATTTGCATAGGCAAATTTAAAATTATTTAAGTAATATTTCAAAAACGAGTGCGAGTGTTTCATCGGGGTTTCCAAACACGAGAAAACCGATAAAAGCACTCGGCCTTCGGTCTCCTGCTTTTATTGTTTTTGAGTGTTTGAAAACCCCGATGACACACGAAGCACGAGTTTTTGAAATTGCTTCTCAATCGTGTATCATTAGCTAAGAACAATGAAAAAATTCTGACCGATTTTGGCATCAATGGGGTTTGGAATTTTATCAAGCTTTAGGGTTTGATATTTCATCAAAGTATAGTGGAAAAGCCTCTGTCCATTGTTTCATCGGGGTTTCTAAACGCACACATGTGGCAAATTGGTGTATCGTGATTGGTTTGTAACTTGATGAATTATTAATGAGTTTAAGAACATCATTTCTCAGCTTTCCATGAAAGTACTGTAATGTTCAACTTGAAAATTGCTGAAGGAAAGCATACCTTCCAAAATCATTCGATTTCAATATTTTCGTATCTAAGATGGAAGTATACGCTTTCTGTTACTTGAGATTTTCCATAACTTGTTACCGCAAGTAATGGTACTGTCATCACTCGGGCTTTCCGAAGGAAACGCCCGAGGTATAATTTCGGCTTGATTTTTTTCTTTTTTTGTTTTAAGTTTTTGTTTTGTTTTGTTTTGTTTTTTTTTGTTTTGTTTTGTTTTGTTTTTTTTTTGTTTTTGTTTTTTTTTTTTTTTTTGGTTGTTTTCTTTTTTTGCGTTCAGTCACAAAACGCAGTTTCCCTACAGCACATGTGTGAGGTGTAAGCGTATGCGGAGAACGAACCCTAGAGCGTATGGTTTGAAGTAAAGGCCTTGAATTTTTAATTCTAAATTCAAGCATCTTCAAGGACTTTCAAGGCTTTTACGAACCCTAAGTAGGTAATGTATTTGCCTTTAACTGCAAGGAGAAGGGAATTTTCTTGTCTATTATTGGTACCGAGTCACAGTCTGTTGCCAAATGTTCACCTAAGGGAAGTTGTCAGAAATCAGAAGATTGTAGTCATATTACTGTTCAATAATTCCTATTGTTTTTAATAGAAAATCTCTGAATATTTAAAATTGCCGATGGCCACAACAAGAGAAGCAGTGCTATTTACAGTTTTAGTATTTTCAATTAGGGGCATTTGACTTTCATTAAATACCTAGAGGGAATACACATATTTTGACTTTTTTGTGAGTTTTTAAAAATACGTCATACAAAAAACTGAAAACCACATCAAAACCCTGTGCATTCACTATTATTTCTTACAAGATTTTCGAGAATTGATTTGCTGTCAACTGAACCAGACAATATTTCTTTGCAATAACAGACCAGTATCAGATGGCTTACTGGTCTGTTATTGCATTATCAGAGTCACGTCGACGTAAGATATAAACAGTCATTCCTTAAAACAATGCTAAATCGTGCCTTTATGTTGTCATCTAACTGGCAGTCTTTTTCACCAAGAGTACAAACGTCTCACCGAAACCTTCTCGCGACTCAAGTACCCAACTTAACTACTGCATTCGGCCATTAATGATTTCATCACGAAAAAAGTGTCTGGGGGTCCAGGGATCAAACTTCTGACGAGAAAAAACACCCGTTCGAATTATAATTCCTTTTAAGGACCAAACGTAAGCAAATTCCGTACGAAGGCAACTTGGCGACCGAAGCCGAAAAATTGTAACTGACATTTCTCCTGTATACACTAACAGAAAGTTCGGATATGAGTTAAAACCAACGGAAAAGAAGCCCAACATCATCAATCAGCAGCGCATTGGGTATTATTTGAAGTGTGGTCTGTGCGATGCAGACTATGTCGGCTACACATGCCGGCACCTCCACCAACGTGCTGAAGAACACAAAGCGTCTTAGTCTTCAATCGGGAAACACATTAGAGAGCGGCATAGGCATGGGCATACCCCAAGTGACTTGCATCACAAATCCTGAAGAAATGCAAAAGTAAACTGGACTGCCTAATTTACGAGATGCTTTTTATAAAAGAAATTAAGCCAAGCTTGAACAAACAGTTAGACTCTATCCGCGCAAAGCTATTTTTATGATAATTAACATTCGTTAACTCTCATATTAATTTATTCGTATTGTCTCCTTTGCAATTTTATCCCTTCTATTTTACGCCTAGCGTTTACATATTTCCATATTTTATCGCCTTTATCATTCCCACGTCTTGAATTTAGTTCATATATGTAAAAATATTCCTTTTTATCAGCTTGAGGATGACCTCAACGAGGTCGAAACGTCGTTCAAAATCATTATCACAAATCATCCTAAAAACGAAGAAAATAGCATTGTTTATTCAGGTTGTTATGTGTACTTATGTGCGAACTGTATCACTTAGCCTCGTTTTCAACACGCAATTCAGCGCTAAATACCTCGCTTCGTTAACCAATCAGTATGCGTGATTTTATTCAACGATGCGATTCTATCCAAAATACAAAACTCCAAGTATGATGGATGAGAAAAATCCGTTTAATATTCTAATCACGTCGTCTTCTCCGGTTACTCAGGATAGGAATCAAGGCAAAATGGATGTTCTAGAGATAAATGGTCTTCGAGTTCGCTCTGAAGTTGGTATCAGTCCTCATGACAGGGGCAAACTGCAAGAGCTGACCATTAACATACACCTCCGGACCTCAATCAAGAAAGCTGGCGAATCAGATTGTGTGGAGGACACCATCAACTACAGAACGATCACAAAAGACGTCCTATTTCATGTAGAGAACAAGAAGTACAATTTGGTTGAAGCAGTTGCTACCGATGTTGCCCGTATTTGCGTGGTGAGACATGATGTTCAGTCAGTTAAGGTAACTGTTCATAAACCAAACTCTCTGCGCTTCTCTGACAGTTCATCTGTGACAATTGAACGATGCACAGAAGACTTTGAATGGAATGAGGTTCACATATCAATTGGATCGAACATTGAGCCTCAAAGAAATTTACCGCTGGCCATAAGTATGTTAAAAGAGAAAATGGAGGTTGTGAAGTTGTCCAGCGCTTTCAAAACAACTCCCGTCGGTTTCAAAGATCAGGACGATTTTATCAATATGGCAGCCATTGTGAAGACCAAACTCGACCCAGCAGGGTGAGTATTGCAATTAAGAAATGCTTTTAACCTTAGGAAGAGGGGAGGGGACACTTGGGTCAATCTTTGTTAAGTATGTACTGCTGGCCTCTAAGAGCCCTGACCCCATTTTAATCTATTCTGTGGCCAGTAATAGATCCCATCGTAGTCAATTTGGACAAAATTAAAAAGTTTTTATGCGCGAATCCTCAAATCCACATGCAAATTTCTGGCACTAACTCTAACGCTGTACTGAGCAAGAAAGCTGATATATTAGCCAGAGTCCATCTGTCCATGTTAGACTACATAGTTAAGACTTAGTTGATTTTGGCGCTTTTTGGCGCTTTTTGGCGCTATTTGATAGTCAAAAATTCTCGATAATACGCCAGCAATAAAGGCACAGCCACATACTTCATTAAATATACATTGTCTCTGGGACAACCGAAATCTTTCCACAATAAGCTATTCAAGCAAATGTGGCGTGTTGCTAAATAGAAATGTGGTTTTTATTATTCAAGTTTTTCTGAATACAATATATACATACATGCATAAGTGGGTTAATTGACCACTCCCCATAGGGGCTTTACAGGGTCAACACCCACCCATCCCACCAAGGGGAGGACATCCACCACACAGTAATCTCGTGCGTGGGAAATTAATGTCTGTTGCCCCTAACCCTGCAGGAGACGGGGCCTACGGTTTATTCGTCCTTATCCGGGAAGACTAGAATATCTATCCATTTCTTGATTATAGAAAGGTAGCAAATTCTCCTCACTTATGTTAAGACCATGAGTATTAGTACGGCAGGGGCTAGAACCCTCGACCTCCCTCACAACACAATCCGACGCTCTAACCAATTGAGCTAGCCGGGAGGCGGTCACAATTATCGAAAGCTATCGAAAAACCTGACTGCGTGCCTTGTGCGAACGAGAACTTATGATTATTGTGAAATTAACTTCAGTGTCGATGATTAGAGAACCTCTACTTTGACGCAAGATGAATAAGTAATTCAAATTCAAATACAATATAAACAATAGGGGTCCACGGGCACTTGACAATGTTTTGCTCTATTTGTAAGATAATTGTTTTTTTTTTCTTTAAAACAATAAAGCTCCTATCCTACATCCTGAGCACATACTTATTATTTGCTCTTGGCGGACGGTTTCTCGGCTTCCAAATAAAGCGTTTATTTCAAAGGAAACATCAACATCGACGTGCGTTCCTAGAAATGACAAGTTATCATTAGTGTAACTTTAGAAATTTTAAAACAGTTCTAAAGAGTTAGGTTTCTCTTCTGAGGGTCAAAATGTAGTTAATGTCATAATTTCGTTTAAACCTTTTGAAGACGGAGATAAGAATTATTTGGTTTTAGCTGAAAGTGTCTGCCTCTAGTGTTTCCGACAAAATAATCTCGTGGCTAATCAGAACGGAGAAAAATATCACGGAAGCCGTTATGAAACAAAACTATAAAAAGAAAGTGCCCAGGGGTCTGAGTTGGATTTGGTAGAAGTTTTGCGTCTGCTTAATTGCGAGAATGATGTAGGTTCTCGATACAAATTCCATAATGTACCACAGCGCTTTTCGATTGATTATTGTGTTCAAAGCGGCAAATTAGAAGGAAAGAAAATACTTTGGAGAGCTAGTTAGAACTTCAAGTGAAAACAAGCAAACTGCTTTTAAGCAGTTAAATTTAAGCAGTTAAATTTAAGCAATAAAATTTAAACAATTAAATTTAAGCAGTTAAATTTGAGCAATTAAATTTAAAGCAATTAAATTTAAAGCAATTAAATTTAAAGCAATTAAATTTAAAGCAATTAAATTTAAAGCAATTAAATTTAAAGCAATTAAATTTACCGAATCCAACTTCAGATCCCTAGGCACTGTCTTGTTATTGTTTTTTTTCATAATGGCTTCCGTGATATTTTTCTCCGTTCTGATTAGCCTCGAGACTATTTTGTCAGAAACACCAGAAGCAGACACTTTCAGCTAAAACCAAATAATTCTTATCTCCGTCTTCAAAAGGTTTAAACGAAATTATGACATTAACTACATTTTGACCCTCCAAAGAGAAACCTAACTCCTTAGAACTGTTTTAAAATTTCTAAGGTTACACTAATGATAACTTGTCAATAAGTTAAATTGTCAATTAAGTTAAATTTAAGCAATTAAAACTATAGCGCGGGAAAACGCAGCGACCAAGTCCAGATTGGTTGTAGGTTTCCATCTGATTGATCGAGATCGCGACGCGAGTTTTCTGGACCAATCACAGAGCGAAGTAAAACAAACCAATGCAATGTCGATTTACTTTCGAAAATCGACTGAAAATTTTTGTAAATCATTGCAATCCTTTGTAACTTCTTTTTCTGATTTGAAAACCCCTATCTAATTCAAATAATTCCTCTTTTCTTATGTTAAGTTTAAAACAGGTCCTGCTACAAGTAGAAGATAAACTTGGACGGGTTCGAATTCCTGAGAATAAGAACGCACCAAGGACTATCGACCTGGACATTTCATTCTGGGGAAACATGACATTTGAATACAAACTTAACAATGGTTCTGCTGTAAAATCGTGGTCAGTTCCTGAGCCAGACGCTTGCAAACATTCTCACGTGATTATACCACTTGCTGACGTCACACCAGATTTTGTTCATCCAACCACGAGGAAACCTTTAAAATTGATTGCGACAGAAGTGAGTGGTAATGATGACTTCCGTTCTGTCTTTCCTGTCACTCAGATTTGCTCGAGCAATGGAGCTCACACAAATGGTAAAGAAGATGCCTTGATTCTGGCAGACAAATTGAAGTATATTCAGAAAGGAACCAGCAAGAAGCCGTCCAATAACGAGCTGCATTTGAATGGGTCTGCCCATCGTGGGAAGAATCCTGTTGCTTTAGTGACAGGCGCGGCGAGGCGGCTTGGAGCGTGTATTGCCACACGGCTTCACGAAATTGGATACAGTGTCTTGGTGCATTACAACACGTCTGCCGAAGATGCTACTACTCTGGTTCAGCAACTAAATAGGTAATTATTTCACTTGTAATCATTTCCTTAGGGATATTAAAGAAGACACATTCAAAAACTATAACAAAAACTCGCGTTTCAGGCCTGCTCAAGTGTTTAGGGTGGTTACTCAGGTATAGAATATTCACGTATCACAATACGAGTTTGAAGTGCCATCTTTTGATATTTAGCACACTAGTCATCCACTCAAGGCACTGTAATATGGAAAGCCATACTAGACAAAAGTGGTCCACAATAATTTTGTCGACCAAGAAATAATTTTGTCTTTCGAGATATATGTTCGATGGTCCAGAAATATTTTTGACGATTGAGAAATCTTTTTCATTGGTCGAGAAATAATTCTCTCTGACAAGAAATGTTTGTCGTGAGTTTG